TATTAAGGTACATCCGCCCCCTCAGGAGATCAACGCACACCCCTACGCAATACAATGCCCAACCCGTCCCCTCGGATGCGAACATGGATGCTCACCGCGTCTCCCCCCCCTTGCACCTGGTTTTTGGGCCGATTCACACCTCCATGCCTTCTGTTTCCACTCGGCCGACAGCACCTAGAAACGACTTTGCTGCTGATCGCACGCACCGCCCTTCTCTTGCAACAGTGCCAGAGATGTTCAAGTCTTCCTTCTGGCTGCCGCGCGCTGCTCTCTCTCTCTCTTTCAACCCCTTCTTGCCTTTGCATGCCGGCGCTTGAAACACCAGGTGAAGGGCGAAACGGTTAAGATGACCAACCTGGAGTGGTATAAGTTCATCTATCCCGACAACGATGATCTTCCCTACATGTACAACGAATTTGCCTGGGATCACTGCGCGTGAGTTGTTGCGGACAAACCCTGAAGTAGCTGGTCGAGGGGGAGTGAGTGGCATGCCGGCGCAAGAATTGCTTGTGTGTGTGTGTGTGTGTGTATTTTTTGTTTGTTAGGTCGATCGATGCCTTCGTTCAAGGGAAAGGGAAACAGCAGACGAATCCTTGCTTCATTGGTTCCGCGACTACGTGTATCTCCATAAAAAGCGAAATTGACGAGTGAAAGTAGCTAGGAGCACGCATTTACTATCTCCACACGAGCACCAATTAATGTCGTCCCCGTTTAGTCATGCCCCGCTGAGAATCGATTAGGCGTTATTGTGCGGTCCCGGTCGAGTGAGTACGAAACGTTTGTCGGCAGTGGTTTGGTTGTACCCGTACGACACTGATATTTTGTCCCAGACTGGACAGCTATCTGTTGCACGTTTCAGAGGAGGGGCACATCGGGTGGAGAGCACCCCTGCCATCGTGACTATTGTAGTTGTCGCTCGCTCTCGCTCTCGATGTTCTTTTCTGTCAATCTCGCGTTGTTGTGCCATATATTGTCCTCTTGGCACCCCTATTCTCTACACCGTGTCGATCTGTTTTGGCGACGCTATTAGCCTCGCCACCAGCACTTTGACGTTGGCCTCCTCCGCTCCATTCCCTGCCTCCCCCGCTCTCGTCTCGTGTGTTTTTTTTTATTATCCTTCAATCCACAGGGTCAGTGGCTCCTACATGGGAACTCCCGAGAAATACTAGGAGGTGTCGCGGGAAGTGGTGATTGAGGTACCTACAGTACCACCAGGTCGTTCATGTACGAGGAGTATGTGTTGACAGAGGGCCCTTGCCCTATAGTATGCTTCGTGAGGTTGTCGGCCCGACGTCCTGGGCGTCGAAAACCGGGCTTGTGCTGGCCGCGCGAATAATGTATGCACTGCGCGGAAAAGGCCGCCAGCCCTGTGTTGGGTGCTTGTGGCGGCGGCGGCGACGACCGCGCAAGACTGTCGGAAGCGCCGTGGCGTGCTTGCCTGCTGCTGCTGCTGCTGCTGCTGCTGCTGCTCTCTTTCTTTGACGGGACACCGAGAAGAGAGGACGGCGAGCGGGGGAGTTGCCAAGCCGTTTCATCGCTCGAATGGGTCCGGCTTTCATGCGCGAAATAGTTATGACGTTGCGCCCGACACTGACTGGTCGGTCGCCGGCAGCAAAGGTGGTCGGGTGGGTCCCTTGGCGGCCAGCCCTGCGCAACCGTTCCTGAATGTGGTGGTTCCCCAGCCTGCCTTCCCCAAGTTGATGCGGCTCGCTCCGCTGCTTTTCGTGCGTGGTCTCTCGTTGAGTGGGTTGTCAACAGTTGGTGCCGAAGCGGGCTGTCGCAAGACGTGTGGCGGATTTTTCCTTCCTTTCCTTGTTCATATTGTATACGTTTCTTCATTCTCCTTTTGATGCGTGGTGCACCCAAGCCATCCGCCGCGCCGTTGGCTGTCTTTCGCCAGGTGGTAGTACGTGTGTTGTTTTTTGACGCTCACGTTTCGCTTTTCTTGTGTCCTCTTCGGTTTCTTTGTGACTCCTTTTACCTTCACGAGAAGAAGACTGGCTGGTGGGAAAAGGAGCGCCCCAACTCTGGTCACGGGGTTAACAGACGTAGAGAGAGTTAAAGCAGTATCGTCATCTGCCGGGATATTTTCGTGGTAGTCTGGGTGGAGTGTAGGCGCTTTCGTTGTAGTTAGGTTTGTTTGTAGTTTCGCTCCTGTGTCTCTTGCAGTCTTTTCTTGTACTGTTGTTGCATTTCGAGGCTGACTGGTAGAAAAAACACTTCTTGCTCTAATCAGCGGTGACGGGGTTAACAGACTTGAAAGAGGATTGAAGTAACCGCAACGTCCGCCTGCGGGGATCTATATTTTGTTTGTGATTTGGGGCTTTGATGCATTTGGTGTGTGTGTAGTTCAAGAGTGTGCGGTGTTTTTTTCCATCAATTTGTTGACTTGAATTGAAGGTTTTGGGGCTTGTTTACTATCAATTGTACCATTCTGAAGCTTTAACTTCAGTCTCATCGCTCAATATCCGTGGAAGTTTCATTCACATGCCCCACCCCTTACCCAACCCGGTCTAAAATGCCGATCTCGAGCTACAGTGCAAATCTCGTGGTGCCTCGAGTATGGTTCGGTGTGGAATCGCAAATCATGAGCCGTCCCCGAGTTTGAGCAGCTTCCGCCTCCTGTGGCCGGCAAGAGTTGGCCTTGACTGTTCCTTGCCTGTTTCGCCTTGGAAACGGCCGGTTGAACAGCGAAAGAGGGTCCTGCGTGCTGCGCGCCACATCTTTTTTTTATTCTTCTTAATGACACAACGAATCTTTTTACATTTTGTTTGGCGCTTGTTCTTGAGTGACGCATGTACACATGCGGCTGCTGCTGCGGTTGCTGCTGTTATGCTCGGAGTGTGCTGCAATGGTCGTACGGTTATCGTACAATAGTCAGGTTTGACGACAGTCTTCTCGTTCGTATAGCAGTGGCGGTGCGCATCTATCGCGACGGTAAGCGCATTGAGATAATAGTTCGTCCGTCGTGCTTCTATAGTCTACACAGAGAGTCGTGTTCTTCTTTGTTGCCACTTCGTACCAGAAAAGAAAGAAAGTCTCCACCAACGTACAGCAGTATCTATCTCCACAGCAGTTCGGAAACGACAACTACATTTCTTTTGTCGTGTTTGTTGTTGCTGAGCGCACATCGGATGTCGCCGTTCGTTACACGTGTTCAAGCCTGCGGTGGGCCAGAGGGATGAGAGTGAGTGTCTCCTCGAGAGTTCATGCCTGGTCTTCTCGAGTCTCTCTTCCTTTAGTCTACCGCTCTCTCTCTCTCTAATGTACTTCTTATTATGTGGCCAAAACGTGGCCGTTCTTAGAGACACTGTTATCTAGTATGCACTGCTATGGTGCCCTCCCTGTCAAACTAGTCTAGCGTATCACCACACGCTACCTATCTGTCAATGTTGCACCCTTGACAACCGTACCTCGCCACCCAATCAAGAGTGTTTTTTTGCAGGAGCGGGCCGGCACGGTGAACAAAATATGTTTGGTGGCGGTGGCCAGGACGGAGAGGTGCAGGGTTGCCGTTCGCACTGCTCCGTCCCCCTTTTGCCATTGACTGTATGCATAACTTTCACCTACGCTTCTGTTGTCCGCGAGAGAAGTCTCGGGGGAATCATCATTATCACCATCATCATCGGCAGCAACAACAACAACAGCTGCAAAGTAAGTTGATTTTTTCGATTACCACACGCAGCGGCACCACCTGCTCGTGCATATGCACGCCGCCCAAGGGTATGTACAGAGGACACAAAGGTAGAGGCTGATGCCAGTGTGTTACATCTATGTGGTGACCCGCCATTTAGTGATTGCAGAAGACAGTAGTAGTGGACAGGCCCAAGTGCAAGTTTTGGATCCGAACGAAAACCGACAAAAAAGTTGTTGATGTATCATCTCGTCCGACATCATGAGCGCGACCGCAGGGTTCTGTGGTCTGTTTTCGAAAAGAAGTGCCACCCGCTCGAGTTAATACCCCGTTCGAAGGGATGTGTCGACGCCTTTAAAGCAGTGTTGGAGGTTGAAGGAGCACCACAGAGCATAGCATCTATGACAAGCAGTGTACATGTGTATGTACATGTGTACCTGTCCTGTGTACACAGCTGGATATGGTTCCGTTTTCGGTTTGCCTGCCCTGCTTGGAACCATAATCCTTGCATGTCTAACTCCGGGGATGCCCCTCTCCTGTCCCCAGCACAGCGTCAATGCAATGACACAACAGACAACACTATCACTGCACGACGGGAGGGGTCTTAGGGATCACAAACACGCGGCTGTTCCTCGCCATCTCTACGGTCAGATAGGTGAGGGTGCCGTTATCCATGCAACGCAGAAGCAGGCACCTACAAGAGAAGGGTGCCGCCGTTGCTGCGGTTGTTGCTCAGGGTTTATCGGGGATTTTGGTGTGCTGAGATTTGCACACACCACTTTTGGCTCCGTTGGCCGACCGTAGCGACAGATAGGTGTAGGTGTTGCACCAGGTGTTGCAGCGAGGCTCTAGTTTGGTGGACCTGACTGGGAATGCTGCAGTGCCTGCTTCCTGCGACGGAAAAACGCAACCTTGGCAGATACGCAAGATAACACCCCCCCCGGAATGGCCTTTCCCCTCTCTGTGAAAAACTGTAACAAGGAACTACTGCCTGCAGTAGAAGCGTGTGTCTAACATTAGCGGCACTGAAAACATATCGCCCGACATACCCGCGTACAGGTTGCTTGATTTACGCAGATGTACACCCCTTCTTGTATGTAGGTGCGGAGAATTTTGCAACAACGATGACAGAGGGTGTGGTATCTCACGTCATCACGTCATGCAGAAAGTCGGTTAGACAAATTTGCAAAGCACACCTTGGTACAACTTGGTACTCATCATGTAGTTTTTGCACCCTCGCCCCACCTCAACCTCGAACTGAACCAGTCCTCTACTACTTACACCCTACAATCTGAAGGACCTACATTAATAGGAACCATTGCCACCCCCCGCTAGCGGCGGCGGCAATCGCGCGAGGGTAAGAAACATGTCGAAGCGAGTCGCGTCCCTTGCCGGCGCGGCCCTCCGGGTGGACGCCCTGCGGGAGGAGGGGAGAGCCGAGCTCGTGGACCTGCTCGAGTCCCTGCCGGGGAGCAAGTGCCTCGTGCTAGAGAGCCACATCGGCGGTCTGTTGAACCACGTCATCCCAGAAGGTTCCAAGGTAAGAAGGCAGGCGCGGGGGGGGGCGTACTCTTGATGTTTTGTAGTACAACATGCCTTAGCTGTTAGACGATTGACCTCGCATTCCGCAATGCCGGGAGGGGGCGATATGCCGGGTTTTCGCCGGCCCGGGTTACTATAGTACGTTTCACAAGGATGAACCAGAAGCTGGTCCATCATCGTCGCGTTTGCTGTGCCAGAACCAGATACATGGCGGAGGGGGGTTTCTTCGGTGTAGCCTCGACCGCGCTAACAATCGGACGGTACCAGTCGCATGACGCGAGACCTGACGTGTTGTACGCGTACAGCGGGACAACAAAGTTGTGCGAGTGCCGTTCCCGGTACCGGTCCCCGAGACTACCTCGACAGGAGGGAGGGTGTCGGTGTTGTCTTTGTTACGGTTTTCGTGGCAGATACCTTTGCCTTTTGTTTTGTTCTTTGTTGTTTTCTTGTCGTCGTTCGGACCTCGGAGAAAGGCTGGTTCAAGCAATCGTACTGTACAGTTCCCGTCTCTCTCGGTCTCGCTCTCTTCCTCTCTTTCTCTCTCTCTCTCGCTCTCTCTCTCTCTCCCTCTCTCGCTCCCCCTCTCTCTTACGTACCATCTGTCTTGTGTTGTGTGTGCTGCGTGTTGTTCCCAACGTGTCAAAGCTGCTGCGCGAGAAAGGGGTGACATACTTCCGCGAGCTGCGAGGGGAGCTGGGTGCCTTCGAGGACAGAAACGGGGTTAAGGCCGAGCCCGATCACATCGTATACTTGGTGAGTCGCCTCACTGCTGTTCCTCTTGTTTAGGAGGTAGACATTATCGTCATCTTTGTTTTTTGCTGCTCGTTGTTCCTCTTGTTTAGGTACGCATTGTCATCGTCGTCGTCTGTTGCTGCTCGCGCCGCAGGTACTGCTCTACAAGCTTTCACACAAGGCGGACCGACCTCGAATGCCCCTCCCCTGCCTGGTTGTGTTTAGATTTTGTAGCTTGTGGAGAAGTTTCATCTCCGGATGTCGTTGCTGGGCGCGGGGGGGGGGCGTCTTATGTCGCCCTAGTTACTGGATCTGACAGTAGTTGTATGCTTTGAGCTCTCATCAACAGCAACAACGACGACAACAACAACAATACCAACAGCAACAGCAACATCAACAGCAACAGCAACAGCAACGTGTTATTTTCATCGCGTAGGTGCGGGCGTCGATTCCGAACGTGAAGATCATCGCGGACCAGATCAACTCCAGGATCAAGGCTGGAGCAGCCTTCGACTTCCGGTATAAGGTAATACCGCGTACCACATACCACATTCGTGCACGTCCGTGCATCCCAGGGTTTACGGCATTTCGGTATTACATTCTCCGTTGTAGATGTGAAGGCAGGAGGTGACAACAGACGCTGGAACAACAACAGTAGTGTGACTATCTGGCTTGTCTCTGTCCTTAACAGTTCATGGGTGGGTAACGGGAGCCTTCCGACAGACCAATCCGGATTCGAGAGAAGACTGCCAAACTTCTGAAGTAGCGCCGGACATACACGACGTTCAGGAAAGTGGTTGCACCATTTGTTATTTGCTCGTCTCAACCGCCCGCCCCCCACCCCCCTCCCACCATCTGCCGTGCACGCCCCCGCCATGCCAACTAGGTTTACTTCGTGCCGCATCGCACGCTCATCTGTGAGCAGGTATGCATGTGCATGAAGGGAGTTGCATCATTTTCGAGGTGCTTGGTATGCCCTGCTACTGCTGTTGTTGATATTGTTTTTGGCGGCTATGGATACCAGTTTACCATATTCTAGCTTCTGTTGACGAGCGTGCCGGTTTCTTCTCCGCATACGTTGCTGCTGCTGCTGCTGCTGCTGATCACGATGCCACTGCTGTTGCGCAACCACCGGGCAGGTCTTGCAAGAGGAACGGGTGCTCCGCAGGGTGGACGTGGGAGACTACCCCCTGGACCTCGTGCCGCTCGAGAAGGACGTTCTCAGCCTCGAGCTCGACGGCCTCTTCCGGAGGGTAAGTGGTGTATGCATGCCAAATTCGAGCAAGGGGACAATTTTGCCGTCTCCGTTATTCGTTGCCAGCAGCCAAGTACATAGCAGTCGACGTGACGAACCCGCAAAGGCGCCATTGGCGGAAATGTTTTCAGGCATGTTTAGGGGAGGGGGGGGAGGTCGTGCTCATGTTTTGCATGCCTGAGCGGTTAGACCTTGGGAGGGGGGGGTGATGCTTAGGGCACCAGTAAATGGTGTTGTTGATTTGCCGTGAACGGCAGGGCGTTGCTGGGGGTATGGAGTGTGTGTTGGTGCCGCCGGTAAGCACGAAAGAGAGAGAGTGCATGTGTTACCTCCGCCCTTGTACCCTTTGCGTGGGCGTTGGGCGATATGTAAGCGTGTTTAGGCAGGCATGTGTTTGTGTGTGCCGGGTGATCGTGATCGCCTCTCCATGCTTGCTGCATGGAGTTTCGTGTTATGTTTCGTTCACGTCTTGAAGTTGCTGTCGCTGTTGGTGCTGGTGCTGGTGCCCCTGTTTTCTTCATATGTATTGTCAACCGAATATGTAGCAGTGGCAAACGTGTGAGTAGAATGTCAAGCCTGTGTCTTTGATCTAGATCCGCACGTTTGCTGCTGCTGCTGCTGCTGCTGCTGTTACTGTTGCTGCTGTGGCAGGTGCACTTGGATGGAGACACATCGGGGCTATCGGTGGTCGCTCGCTCGGTGCAGAAGCTGCAGACGGTATGTGGACATGTTTTGTTGCCGCTGACGCTGTTTTCTTTCTTTTAATGATACCTTTGGATGTGCTCTGATGATGTTTTTCCTTCGTGTCTGTCTTTTAAGGTGGTTGTCGAGAGTCTTGGCATTTTTCGTTCGTATCTTTGCTCACACGTTCAAGCCACCCAACCAAGCACACCGCGTTGTATGTGTGTGTGCGTGTCCCCGCCCTTCGCCTCTCCTCATAACGCCTGCCAAGGTCTTCGGCACAATACCCAACGTTAAGGCAAAGGGAACGGCGGCAGTCGCTTGCCTGCACCGAGCGATGCGCATGCGGAGGGAGGAGGCGGGAGCGGAAAGGGCGGGGGACGGGGGCGAGTTCGGGGGGGGAGGGATATCCAGTGTCCCCGGTATCGACACGCTCATCCTTCTCGATCGGTGCGTCTCGCCCCTTGTCTCATGCCTCTTTTGTTGTTGTTGTTGTTGGTGGTGGTGGTGGTTGTGGTGATGGTGGTTTGCGCGGAGCATTCTGTGCCGGTTGACGAGCATGTTGTGCCGATCGTGGGAGGGGCCACGGATGGTAGAATTGTCGTAGTCGGCCGCCGTTGTCGCAAGTGCGCACTCCAACACCATGTCTTGCGCGAGGGGAACGATCCCGATAGATAGCGATGCGTTCCCAGCCCTTGCGAGACCTCCTACATGTTTGTACTAGATGCGACAGCGGTTGAGGTTCACGACATCCCGCGTTCCCGGCAATGCTAGCGCCGTCGACCGTGACAAGTCATTTGGGTACAAGTAGCTGTTTAGCCGACATCTACTGCATGACACAGGTACATGACACACACCCCGGGCTGCTAGTCACAAAAGCTCGACTACAACTCCTAGAATAGAGGGGTGCGGTGCCGAAAATGGCGGCGTTGGTACCGACCGTCTTGTAGAGGTCTTTTCCTGAGAATGGGTTGTTTGATTCTTACATCCTCTTCGTCGTGGAGTAGTCGAGATTTTCGAAATTGGTCCAGAGGGTGTGATATCTCACGCCACCTACTTACTGCACGGCACCCCACCCTCCTTCCATCGGCTCACCGTTTCACCCGCTCCGTGCAACCGCACCGCACAACTAGAACTGTAAATATATTTTTGTAGAACACCGCCAGATTTTGCCAGCGCACGCATACGTGCCTCAGATAGATGTGAATGCTGTATTGTGGTGTTGGCTTTGCTGTCAACTCTACGCCGCATGTCTCGATAGTATCCGTCAAGGAGGTGGTTGTTGTTGCTGCTGCTGCTGCTGCTGTACACCTGCATGCCGGATCCTCACACAAGCAATTGACACGCGCCTTTATGCAGCTTCCGGCGGCCACCAACATGGGATGTTTTATAATCAGTTTTGTATCTCTATCTTTACTACCGTTATTGTTCGCCACATATTCATCGATTTAGTAACTGTCCTTTGTTTTCCGTCAGATCTATTGTTTCTTCACTTTAATACCTTGCACGCCAGATATTTGTTTTGTCAGTTACAATACTGCCTACAGCTCATCTTGCCTTTTCACCAGCCGGATCTTTGTTGAAGATTCGTATCATCTCAAGCCGACCGCTAGATCTTTTCCCTCCCGTTTCGTATTTTTTGTTAACCCGCCGGATATTTGGCCGTGCCTCTGTGGATGTCTTGTCGGAACGATGAATCCACTACCTATCAGAGGGGTTGATCTGGTCACCGCGTTGGCGACGCCTTTGACTTACGAGGGCTTGATCGACGACCTCATCGGCATCGAGAACGGGTGAGAATGTCAAGCGCGGAAAAATAAAGGGGGAGCGGGGGGGGGGGGGGG